TTACATCTTCCATTGTTTACTTCCTCATTTCCCGTTACATCTTACATTATTTCCTTCTTCATTTCCTGTCAAATCTTCCATTATTTCCTTCCTCATTTCCCGTTACATCTTCCATTGTTTACTTCCTCATTTTGTCAAATCTTCCAACATTTCCTTCTTCATTTCCCGTTACATCTTCCATTATTTACTTCATTTCCTGTCAAATCTTCCATTATTTAATTCCTCATTTCCCGTCACATCTTCCATTATTTCCTTCCTCATTTCCTGTCAAATCTTCCATTATTTCATTCCTCATTTCCCGTCACATCTTCCAATATTTCCTTCCTCATTTCCTGTCAATCTTCCAATATTTCCTTCCTTATTTCCTATCAAATCTTCCATTATTTCCTTCCTCATTTCCCATCGTATATTCCATTGTTTCCTTCCTCACAGCTTCTCTCTCTTTCTCACCATCATATTCTTAAAGAATCATTTCTCTGCTTCCTGGTCTCTTCCAGCAGGTTGTTTTTCTTTCCTCCAATCCTGTTAGTTGTGCTTGGGTGTATTTCTAAGGGATCTTTTCTAAACACATTGATTCACTAGGGTCACTTCCAATCCACAGAGTTCTGGTCCCCGCCTTACATCCAGCAGGGTGCATAAAGCAAGCGGAGTTCTTTCCATCGTTAATAGAGGAAGTGGTTCCTCCATTTCAGACCAGCTTTTATCAGGAGCTTCCAGGCCACCGGGGGAAGAGGGGAGATTTTCCACGGTGGGAATGTGAAGAGGAACAGGGGATCGGTCCGGCATTAAGCTCCTGGGGCAGCCGGGGATTAGTGATGCATGAGTAGAGGCACGCTCCAAACACGCTCAGTCCCCACCCCTCCCCCCCAGAAGAAAGGGCTGCTGGAGGTGGAGGTTAGGATTACTGATGGAGCCTCTGGGTGTTTAAACCCGGGAACAGGAAACCTTCTGCCCAAACGCTCAGATTAGGAGGAACATCAGATAAAGACCAACCTTTTCTGTCAGCAGGTCCTGACCTCCGTCCTCATGGAGGAACTCCAGAGGAGCTCCAGTCAGACGCTCCAACCTTCAGATGGGAAAGCTGCAGACGGCGAGGTCCTCCTGCTCTGCTGTCTTTCATCTGGTTCTCCTGTAACAAGGAGGTGGAGAACCTCCAGGTTCTGCTTCTCATCTCTTGGATCAGTCTGATTCTGACATGTAGGAACAACTCAGGCTCTGATTGGAGGAGACAGTCCATCCAACCCTCCCTCCTCTGGAGAACAGAGGCTAAGCTTTAGATCTGCTGCCTTCAGGAGAAACCTTCTGACTTTAGCTGAGAAGCTCCAAACATTCTGACCCCTCCAGACCTCCAGGCAGCAGGTTGAGGATTCCACCTCTGAGGAGGTTGGAGGTCTAAGCCATTAATTGATTGGACCAAAGGTTCCAAGATCCAGATCCAGATTGATCTGATTCAGAACCAGACATCTGGATTCTTCATCAGTGTCTGTGGAGCAGACCAGTCCAGGAGCTGCTCCTCCTCTTCCTCACTCTGGGATCTGGAAGGTGGTTTCCATCGCCCAGGAGATCTCAGGAGATCCTTTTCTCCATCACAGAGGAGGAGATGTTCAACCATGATCCACCTCCTACCATCACAGAGCTGGTTCCTGGATGCTCCAACAAACACCTGAAGATCTGATCCATCGGATCCATGATGGCCATCCCAGAACATCTGAGCCCGGAGAACTGACTGCTCCTCTGAGGAGAACACCAGGCTTCTCTCCTTCATGGAGATCCAGGCTCTGAGATGTTCTCCCAGCTGGTGGTGGATGATGGTTCTGGAAGCAGAGCTGTCTGAAGCAGCAGAGATCGCTGATGTTCCTCCTTGGATGATGGAGGTCAGGAGGGAGAAGAATGAAGACAGGAAGATGATGTTTGTGGTCAGAGACGATGGAGAAGTTCTGATGGTTCTAACTGGACCTGCATCAGCCCTGTTTCTCTCTCTGACAGCTCATTCCAGAGCTAATTATCTCTAATTTAATTAGCAGTTCAGCTGAGGGGGCGGAGCCTGGGGCTCCCAGCCTGTCATCTGTTGGCAGAAGCAAAGCGCTGCTGTTCTGTCAGTAATGAGGTTGTTTGTTCAGTGAGTGGAGTCATTACAGAACATTTCATTAGCAACGCTTCGTTCACCAGGGATCAAGGAGACACTTTGGTTCAGGAGAACTTTAGAGCAAACATTCCAGCTGCACCATGGAGTCCTCCTCCTGCGCCTCATGGCCGTTCCTCACCTTCACCACCATCACCTGTTAACTCTTCCTCCTCCTCTTCTTCTGCAGCTCCATCTCTGGTCAGCGAGCTGCGAGCGGAGAAGATCGAGGAGAAGAGCGTTACGCTGGTGTGGAGAGAGCCCTCCTACCCCAACAGCAGCCGCACCGAGTATGAAGTCAAGTACTACGAGAAGGTAAAGAGCTGCAGAACCTTTCTGGTTCCCAGCAGAACCTTTGGTTCCATGCACTTACCTGTAAGGCGGCTCAAAAACGACTCAAACCGCTGCGCTTTAAATTCTGCTCTGCAGAGGGAAAAACAGAAATACACGAATAGACAGGATATGAAGCTATGAAGATGTTAAACCTCCTGGATGAGCGGCAGCAGGAAGTTAAAGGGTTAAACTGTTCTGTTAAAACTTAACCAGCTGATCTACGGCGCCAGATGATATAAACTGGTTCACATCTGGATCCCTGACAGGTTAGAAAGGATGAAATCTACAGCTGAATTTCTACACCAACACACTCTCTCTGATCTTGCTATATGTAGTGAGGACCAGGCGTCGACTGCCGGTGATTTTCAGCCCTTTCTTCGCCCTAACCCTGAAAATGACCCTAAGCAGAGCATTCCTCACTCCTGAACAGAACGTTAGCAGATGAAGCTATGAAGACCTCACTTTACAACAATGAGACAAAACCACACACTCAGTCAGCAGCTGCTGAGCTTAGCTCTTAGCTTAGCTCCTATCTAACTATTATCTTAGATCTTATCTTAGCTCTTATCTTAGCTCTTAGCTTAGCTCCTAGCTTAGCTCTTAGCTTAGCTCTTAGCTTAGCTCCTAGCTTAGCTCTTAGCTTAGCTCTTAGCTTAGCTCCTAGCTTAGCTCTTAGCTTAGCTCTTATTTTAGCTCCTAGATTAGCTCTTAGCTT